CTCCTAAGCGGAGGCGCAGATGCTCCTTTCTGCATCTCATCCACGAGGGATGTGGCTCAGCATTTTAAACTTTCACCTGTTCTTTTCCTGAGCACACTGAAGAGGACAATGATGAAGGTGATGGTAGCAATTAAACCCCCCACATATACTTGCAATCTCCTTTGCTCTGCAGAGGAAGAGGAGGTCCAGTGATGTTGGGTTGGCTGGAACAGCTGAACAATCAGTGAGTTGTCACAGTTAAACTTCCCTAGCAACTGCGTGCATGCTCTTGTCAGGTACATAGATGTGACGTGACACAAGTGAGCCAAAGCCACACGGACCCAGGGCCAGTTATACTGGCTGGACTGATGTGTCATAACTTGTTAAACTGCAAGTATGGCTTGCTTTTCCCTGCTGTGTCAGGAGGAGGCACAGGAGCAATCTCCCATCAGCAAGGAGAGTGAGAACCCCAACAGCTCCAATGGGGGAAGCATTTTTGGCTATAGTTCTCTAGTAGCATCAGGCTTAAACTGAATATTGAGTCCAGCTGAGTGTCTAACTCCTTGGGCATGGCTGTTTTCTTGAGCCTCTCCAGTGGGGTCCAGCCCATTTGCTATAGACTTCTGTTACTCCACTTTCAGTCATAAAATCTCTTTTCCCCTGAAGGAAATGAGATATTTGCTCCCTCAAAACTTCAGGGAGTGAAATAAAAGCTGAAGAAGTGAAAGGGGAAGTAGGACAGAGAGAATGGGTATGAGAGGACACCAGAAAGAAAGCATGGGGAACCAGGGAGATGTGGTGTGATTCCGAGGTTTTGATCCCTGTGGTGTGTAGATGAGATGTGAGGAGGTCTAGGCAGGATGAAGAACTTGCTCCTTTTCCCCTGACGCCTACCCGGTGCCTTAAGATGAGCACTCACAGAGATGGGCTCTGCCAGGGCCAAGTGTGAAACAAGGCAGCTGTAGGTGGCTGGTGTCTGTACTGGGGCTGAGCTGATGCTAAGGTAGGAGGTGACGCTGTAGGTGCCATCTCAGCTTTGTCAGTGGCTGGCGAAACATGCATTTGAGAGAGGAATTTTTGCATTGTTGCAGGTCAGAATATCATTACATATCTCTCAAATGACAGCACTGCTGGAATGACATGAACGCTTGGAGGCTCTGGAGGAGATAAACAGCTCTATTGATAGCTGAGTACAAAAGTCTGTCCACAAGGGAAAGAAGGTGAGTTGCCTCTGACAGTTGAATGTTGGGAGCGATGGGATAGGGTGCAGGGCAAAATTTTAGTGCCTGGGGACATGGGACTCCTGTTGCCCCCAGGCACTTCCATTCCTCCCTGGCCATATGCAGCTGGATGATATGCTGGGACTGGTGCAGCAGGGTGGACACCAAACTGCTGTACATCCCTCATCTCCCATGCTCACTTCTTGTAGTCTAAGTGATACCCCAACCACATGGATTTTTGGCCACCTGATAGCCAGCAATGTTCCCTCCTTACTCATAGGAATCCTCTTCTTGTCCCAACTGCCACAGTGGGGTCCTCTAAGCAGCAGGGTGATGCTGATCCCACTGGAGAGCCACAGAGTGACTGCAAACCAGGAGGTACAGCAGGGTGCCTCACTAGCTCGCTGGAAGCTGAGTGTGGGGATCTCAGAGTTCACCTCCCCCCATCACAGTCCACGTGCATCAGGGACTCTGTGTGTGGGATGGATACTGGCAATGGATCCTCCTCACCCTGCACTACTCTCCTCTGGAAGCAACATTCACCTTTAGGAAGGGGTTGTGGGTGCAGAAGCCCTGGCCTGGCTGGCGGGGCTGACAGCAGTTTCACTTTCACTCTGGCAAAGCTGAAGGGAAAAAAACCCCCAACACTTAAACCTGCTCACTCTTTCTGTACCAAGCAGGGGATCCTGGAGGCATAAGGGAAGTGGGGCACAACCAGCTGGGGTTGAGGAGTGCCCCTCCCCAACCTGTGAGTGGGCAGTTTTTGCTGGGTCCTTCTTTAAGTCAATATTTTATCAGCCTTTCCCACCACACTTCTGCATGTGAGGTCATCTCCTCTGGCCCCACTGAGCAGCCTCTGGAAGCAGTCACCTTTCTGCCTACTTGCCTTTTAGAATACTTTGTGAAAGACTTGGAAGTTGAAGCTGGTTTCTTTCTTTCCCCCCACAGCCCCCCCACCCCCAAAAACCTTCTTCAGCTGGAAAGAACTCCGCAGTGGAATGAGCCAGCTCCCCTTCAGCCCAGCAGGTGTGTAGTGCTGCCACCGGTTGCCAATTCAGCCCTGGCTTTGCAGGAAAAAACATCATGGGGAAAAAGCCTAGCTGCAAGAAAGGGAATGGATGAGCTCTGATGGTATTTTACCTACTGCCTTTTCCCTGTCTTTCAAAGACACGGAGAGAACATGGCTGCTTCTCTGCTGGTCTGTTTCCTCTCCTCGCAGTAACACAACTCACCCTTGCTGTGGCTAGCTGAAATCGTGCATACACACCCGCAGGAAACCACGATAACGCCCAGCCACGGCTCTCCCAGTACAACCTCCTGACATCCAGCTTGTGCTGGCCAGACACGGGTTTTTGATACAGACTTACCCTTTGCATCCCAGTCCCGTTCTCACTCACCACGTCAGTCCTTCTTGGAAAAGCCTCACAAGGAATATTAATTCTTCCTGCAGAAGTTATGCTCAGGAGTCCTGAGCTGTCAGACGTGGCCAGCTGCTCTGACTAGCTCTCCCGCTGCCACTCCAGGGTAAGATCACACACCTAAGAGCACACCCTGTGAGCCCTTGCCTTCCCCTTCAGTCTGACTCTGATGATCTCTGTTCCCCTGGACCTTCATGTGGCATTATCCATGCTCTCAGAAGGCACCCACATACTCATCTCAGCCAATGAAGCAGAGCTCAAGCATCTGTGCAACTCCTTCACCTCAGGCAAATGCATCAGCTGTGTCTGCAACGGGAAGGCTCCTTTCTGTCATTTGTTTATATACCTGCTCCAGTAGAGCCCAAACTGCATTTCGGCAGCAGGTTTGGCCATTAGCTGTGTGTGCTGAGGGCTGGGGCAGGTCTGCAGCCCGTGCTGCGGCTGTGAAACGACTTGTGGTTTGCTGCCTGCAGAGAGGCTCTGACACAGCAGTTGTGATGGACTTTGTTTTGCAGGGCTGTAAGCCACTCTTGGCAGTTCTCTGTAATCAAATCCCGCCACATGCCTACTAAAGCTGGGACTCTCTTGCAGTCTCCAGAGCTGCAATCCATTGTATGCTGGGTCAGTCTGGCTATAAAGAACAGCTCTGGTGAAAAGTTGTGCAGCTTACCAAGCTAGCTAGTAACTATAGCTTTACCATATAGGTGTCATGTTCAAGAGAACCATTCAATGGTGCTATAGCTGCTGGGAGAGGGCTGTGCATCTGTTTTCCTACTCAGGGAGATGAAAACCAGTTAAATGACTATGTGATGACAGATAAGGAGGCATCAATGAGCAGAGGCCTAGACAACAAGGGGAAAGAATATACTCATTGTGATGAGAAAAGCAGCAGCAGACAATACTGGCAGCCGAAGGACAATCTAGTTCAGCAGGTGAGGCCAGAGTGGCAGATGCCTGTATACTACAGGGAATCTCAGGTGATGCTGTGGAATCAGAGAAGTGATGGTGGGAGCAGACCTCCAGAGATCTCTGATTCAGCCTCTGGCTCAATCAGGTCACCATGATTTTGTCCAACCAAGTCTGGAAACCCTTCAAGGGTGGAGATATTACCACCTTTCTGAGGACCTGTTCCAGTGCTACTTTTCTACTCTTCTGGTAAAAAAGTAATTCCTAAAGTTCAACCTGAACCTACCAGACCTTAACTTGTTGCCATTGCCCCTTGTTATATCACCTACTACTACTGAGAAAACTTTGGCTCCATTGTCTTTGTAACTATCTTCCAGATACTAGTAGGAAATAATATGCAGCGTAAATTAGCTATCATGCAAGTACAAGGAATATGGTGAATAACAGTAATCACTGGTATTAGAAATTCTGCTGTTCTGGAGTGGTAGAAAGGAAAACAAAAATAGTGCATTAGTCTCACATGAATGATATTACAGCTTGCCTAGATAAAACTCAGAAAGTTAAAAGAGCTTTTCTCTGGTGCAGCTCAGTGTCAGCCATGAACCGCTCAAGTTCATACCTGGATATGTACGGAGAGAGCTAATATTAAAGGAGATAAACCCCAGTAAGAACTGTGCTGCCATGGAGAAACTAACTTCAGAGTTATGAACATTATGATAATCTCTCATGATCATAATGGGCCTCAGGCCTATGATTCTGAACATGACATGACAAATTCCTTCACAAAACCATCACTGAACCTACAAAAGATTTGTTAGTTGTAAATAGCAATTAAGTCATAGAGCAGGTGGTCATCAAAAATAAATTTAGAGTGTGTGATCATAATTTCCTTATGTATAAATTCAGTGGGAAGCTAAATAAGAATAGGCCTGCACTGCATATGCATGTTTTGTTTCAAAAGAAATTAAACCCCAAGGAATTAAGACTCTATAGCATGGACTGCAGCAGTAAGGAAACTGAATGTGAAAGATGCCCAGAATTTTTGAGAGGAATGCACAATGTTTCTGGAATGTGCACCCTAAGTAAAGAAGCAAAAAACCCTCTGTAGCTATGCTGATGAACAGCCACAAAAGTGAAGGGAAAGGAGAAAACTTTTCTTCAAATGTTTGTATATATAATGTAACATCAATCTGGAATATGGATTTTTAAAAGAAAAGAAAGTTTTTCATCTCTAAGTAACTATACCAGGAAGGAGAAAGTGACTTCAAAGAAGATGGGGTCAAAACTAAATAAAGATAATTATTTTGTCAAAATTAAATAAATATAAATAATAGTCTTCAACCAGGAAAATGATAGCAAAGAGTGGATCAGAGGAAAGGACAGTAATGAATATGAGGGTACAGGAACTACCATATATGATTTAAAGGCAAAGCATACATTAATGTGACGAAACTAAGAAAACAAGCTAAGACTTGAATTTTAATGGATTTTTTTTTAAACCATAATAATTTTTATTCTTAAGAAAGCAACAAGGAGTTACAGAGTTTTGCAAAATAATAGTCACTGCTTAAACTTCACCTCATCTGTGCTCAGTTTTGGGTGTTGGAAGCCCAGTAAAAAAATTCTTCCTTCAAACCAGACTTAGGATACATGTCAGTAGTTGACCTGCCCTTTCACCCCTTAAAAATTATCATCTGCCCCATGTTACTGTATAGCACTGACTGGGAATTTCCAGACCTTTTCTCAAGGAGAAGTGTTTATCCAGGAAATCTCTTGTTTTGGCAGCATACAGCAATATCAGCACTGATAACTCTGTGATTTTACTGAGGCCTCTCAGCTCATGTTTCAGTGATCTGCTGGCTGAATACTCTAACCTAGAACAGAGGCTGTGCCACAGAGTGAGGTCCACTGTACAAATTACAATTCAAAACACAATCTGCATTTCACTGAGTTCACGAGGCTCATCCAAATATCTTGTCAGTAGAAACCAAACAAAATAAAATAAAATATAAAATCTCCATTCCCCTTATGTCTCTGCTCTCCTAAACATCACTCTTATCCTCCGAGTGTCTGTTGAATTGCACTGTTTCCTCCTAAATCATTTACAGCTCCATCACCTCTTCCATATCCCACTTCCCTTCATTTCTGTGCCCTTTTACCTGTCCCTGCTTGCCTCTTCTCATAACACCTACAATCAGGCAGGTCTCCTCTATCCAAACCCATTACCTTTTCTGTTTCCTGTCTTCTGTTGTCATGACTGTTTTTGCTCTACTCTGACATTTCTGATTTCCATGGCACCATAATTTCACTTCCCATTCTTCCAGTGAGAGAAAATGCTGCAAAACATGTCAGCCTGGAGTGTGCAGAGTATTGCTCTTGCCCTTCACAAGACTTGTGAGCAGCACAAGCAAGATCAAAGTCATGAAGATCCAGAATGTGGGGTCTGGACCAAAAGCAGCTTATATGCTTTGCTGGACTTGGATCCCGTTTTCCAGTTCAGATCCCTCCACAGCAATAGACCTATTTTGAAAAACACTAAATGCTCTGTTTCTCTTAATCAAATTCCTCAAGCTGAAATTCAGGAAGAGTTTTATCGGCCAAATTACAAACTTAAAATAAGAGCTAAGGACTTGCTGAACCCAAAATGAAGCATCTTACCTTTTAAATAAGCCAGCATTGTGCTCACCAAGGTAAACAGGACAGGCAAATTAATTTCCTTGCAGCTCCTAAAGCTTCTGCTGACTCTGCCAATGGATAGGACCATCAACACTGAGCTAGCTTTGCATGCACCCTCAGATTAATAAAACTGCATCCAACACCAGCCCACAGCTCTCTGCTAGTGATAAATGCGAGATGAAGTGAGAAGCTGACATTGGCCAGGTGGGTACACAGCAGTATAAGGGTGATCTCCACTTCTTTGTACAGCTTTGCCTATTCCAGGGTCAGGTTAACCAGAATAACCTGAAGATGATTGTGGATTTTCAGCTTTCACTTGATGTGCTAAAGGTTAGTTAGCCAAATTTATAGTTTACAGAAGTATACCTATATATTCACAGGGAAAAACGTGTTTCTTTCTGTGTGAATTAACATCCTCTGTCACTCCAGTGTATCCTATAGCAGTACCAGAAGGAAAACGATCCAGTCTCCTAGATGTTCTATGTACACCCTGGCTGACCCCAAGAGACAGAGGTCGTGACATTCCTATCTCTGAACTCCTCCCTGAACCATCATATTTGCAAAGGTTGTGCCCTCCTTGTAGTCTGACTTGGGCACCTCCTGCATAGGCAAGAAGCAGAATCAGTGGCAATAAAGTTGGAACTGAAGTCATGCCATCTCCAGGAGCAGGGAGGTACAAGAACAAAACCCTCTGGAACTGACAGAAGAAGGTCAGGAGTGGAATGGAAGCGGTGCTTATGACATTGACAGTAAAGGTAAAAAGAGCCCAATTCATACCTAACATAAGCCACAATATCAGGGCAGCCAGGGGCAGCCACACCAGTTCACAGCATCCAAGTGGCTGATCATGTGAGAGATTGCTCATAGACTGAAATTTTTCATGGTCTCTTGTACAACCTTGAACACTGACTTACTCTGAGATCCTACTATTTTTTATTCTTCTTCCCAAATTATCCATAATCTTAATCTTGACTTCATTTTCAAGTACGTGGCACAAATACTGACACTCATGTGTATAGCTTTATGAGACTTTCCAGAAGGGATCTCTAGCAACAGAAAACAGGGTAACATTAAAAAAAAAAAAGAACTGCTGCTACTTCTGCTCCTGGGACCAATCCACTGTCCCCACAACTCAGACAATATGTCCCTGTGTGTCTGGAGAAGAAAAACATCCTCGTATGGTTAAAAATCTCACAGGGACCACTTAAGCTGTAAGTGTAGACAAGGAGTAGCTGCACTCAGCATGGTTTCAGTCACCATGCAATTCATGCCTTTGATTACCAAGCACTCAGCTCAGGTTCATCAGCAACCTCTGTGGATAAGAGAGGGCTCCTTCTTGCATAGCTGACTCATCCCAGATGCCCAAGACCAGGGATGGCAAGCGTGGTGTGTGCCCATCCACCTGAGCCAGTTTTCACTTGGCCAGCCCAGGTGAGGAGAGCAGTGGTCCAAGCCAGCAGATATCCCAGCTCCCAGCGAGGTTCTTCTGCCTGAGACAGTAAGATGGAAGTCAGATCTCATGTCCTAAACTCGCACTTCTGGCTACGAACCAGAAGAAAGGGGTGTGAGTCAGCGCCGCTGTGGCTGTGCAGTGGCTGTAAGCTGTTGTTAAGCTGTTGAAAAAGTTCATGGCCATTTCAGAGGAATCCCACCTACCACCACACCTATGGCATTTCTCTCTAGTGCCACTGAAATGGGTTTAAATAGTGTAATGAGACAGACACTGCTGGTAACATGCCTGCTTTCTCTCATCTGTTGCCTCAACAAGCCCATTCTGTTTTTAAGTTAGTGTATTTATTAAAAAATAAACCAAATCTTAACCACTCTTCTGCTCTGTAAAGCAAGCATTATCTGTACTGTTACTGAATGGGTTGCTGAATGTCTCTTCTTATACGGAAAAGAATAGTATTTCTTCGACATATGGTTTACAATTGCTTACAATTAGAATTTGCAACTTACAACTGCAAAATCGCAAATTCCTCAGTTCTCACTGGAGTTCTAAAAAATTCCCTTAATTTTGGCGTGTCCTTTTCTTTTGCCCATGCCTCAGAACAGGTTACAAGTCCCTAGGTCTGCCAGGCAGAAGGGCATCTATCTGTGCTCCTAGAGCTTGGCTTTACAGATGGAAACAAAGTGTTCTAGATCTAGTCAAGTCAAGTACATTAACTGCTCTTGCTTCTCTCAGGCACATGGTACAGGAGCAGCAGCCTACCTTCGAGGTTACAAAGATGCCGTTTTCAAACAAGATCCCTATTGCTTTCTTCAAGATGCTGTATTAAACAAGGAACAGAAACATAAACAGAAAGTATGTGATGTTAGTGAGCAGTGGATGACATTTCAACAATTAAATTAATGCAGGAAAAAAAAAGCAGGACGTTTCAAACACAGCTAGGGAGACGAAAGTTTTGTACATCCAAAGGAAAGTTGGAAGCAACAGTCTTTACACTTGAATTCCCAAATCTTTATCTGAAGATGCCTGAAGGGAGCATGGCAGAGGGCAAGCAGGTTGTTCAGACTCTGTGCTTGAAAGTAGAAACCAAAGTCTTTCGAGTCTGTTCTCGAGATTCAGACATGCCCGTCAGCAGCACGGGGTCCGTCCTGTGCTCCACTTGGTAGAAGGGGCAATTCTTCAAGTGTTCTGACATGCACATGACATCACTGCGCTGCCATTTGTGAACTCTGGAGAAGAGGCTGCTGAACTGCCAGATCTAATATGAGAAAGGGAAAGAAATTGGGGAGAGAAAATGAGGATGGTGGTAAAAACAGAAGCAGATTTTAATTATCTATACATGCTCACAGTGGGTGTGCATTACTCATACTGGACAGGCTAGTGAACATCTGATTGTGCAGGCCTGGCATAAACAAACATGGGGTCTGTATTGTTATGTATCTCATAGTTGCTGGTTTTTTCTGCTTTAGTCATCACCTGCCATTTTTAATGGGGAAGTCACTGACATCATGATTTTCATGGTGTCAATCCAGTGCAGAGCATGAGGAAATTGAGGACACCTGACCACTGCACCTCTACAGAAAACTCCATCACATGTGTGGTGTGATCCAAGCATGCTTATGTGATATGTGTCTCAAAGAAACCTGACAATATAAAGACCTTCCAAAGCACCTATTGGCAACTACAAAGCAATTACCATTACAACACTGTTATTATTCACCCCACTCCAGAAAACTCTGGGAAATATAAGGTTAAAGTTATTACTAGAGGACATACAAACTTGTAGAAAATAGAAATGTGCAGTTCAACTTGTTTGAACTTCTTGTTTGCAGTGATCCCATGCACCACTTAGTGATATACTAGCATGTAGTGATACAACCATGATTGACTTTAATATTAAATCAAATTAATTTTTAAAGATTTCTTCTCCATAAAAATGCTTCTTCCTCAGGAAGAAGGATAATATGTGGACGTGCCATGCTGAAGATTGCCTGACCCTGCTCTAGTTCTAAGTAATAATAGCTATGATACACAGTAGTCAAGAAATTTGGAATTACAAACAATGTTTTCAAGCAGAGTCTGTGCATTGGAAACAAGATTACTGTGTGGTCAGTACAGACAGCTAACATGAAAAGGGTTAGAGAGTCCTTAAATTCAATGCTGCTGGTTTGAAGTTGTACTACAATAACTGAAGTTACTTGCTCTATGATTGGGTGGCTAGAATGTCTTCCTTTTACTGAAAGAAGCCACATCCTCCAGTAAATTATTTCAGTGGCTAATTCCTGGTTTGGATTGGGCTAATTCAACTTGCAGCCACCAACACTTCGTTACACAGATTTTTGAACTCACCATGCTTCAAGTTTTCTCTTAAAAGAGAGTACTTTATCTTAATAAGAAGTCATGAACTGCTACGCTTCCATTTGATAAGAATCAAAAATTAGAGATCTACAGGGCTCTGCTTGAAAGCCAGGTCCTTAGATAATTTCTGGGAGTCTCTCCTGGATCTCTAAATTCTTACTCCTAGATCTCTGTCTTGTCTGCTTGGTCAGGCTGAAGTGCGTCATGCTACTCTTTCAGTTTTACGTGATGGTGGACTTGACAGTGTTAGGTTAATGGCTGGACTCAATGATCTCAGAGGTCTTTTACAACTTAAATGTTTCTATCACTATACGATTTGATGTTAGAACAGCTGCAAGGCTATCAGCTAGAAAAACCCCCCTGTAATAACTAATGTTCAGCTAGGACTTAGACTGAGTTGTGTTTAAGTATTTCTTCCTAAACAACCTAAACAGCCAATAAGGGTAGCAATTTTCCAGTACAAACAGTGGGAGACCAGCTTTGCAGAAGGTGGTTTCCTATACCTATGCTGCTCCCTCACCCATGGTAATCCTATAAACAACTAACCAAACCTTGGGGTTTGATGTGAATGCCTGAGCCCCTTTCAGAGTCATCTCTCCTTGTTCTTTACCTTTTTGGCATTCTAAAGCATTTTGACATACCCTAGATTGGCTTGTAAAGAACAAAAATGTATGAACATCAAGTTCTTAAAAAATCCATGGGTAATGCTTAAATATCAGGAATTCTTAGTTCCCAGTGCCTAAAAATGGTGCACATGCAAATGGGTTACTCAAGACAAGCTTGGGTGGGGACTTTCTGCCAGTCAGAAGATGCCTAGTTACACCTTCTTATGTTTATCTGATGAGAACTCTCATCTCTTTTTCCCAGTGTCACAGTCACTTGCCTTTTTGCGAGCTCTCCACGAAGTACCACCATGGGAATATCTTTTTTTCTCCCAGACCAGCAGGACCATTCCCCTCTCTTGAAGAAGAGTGGCACAGATGTCCCTCATGAGCACTGACACTTGTGACAGTTGAGATAAACTGAAGCTGTCCAGAAATCCCGCAATGTACTTGAGCACTTCCACAGGGAGGCTGCTCAGCAAGTCCTTACTTCTTCCTCGACGATCCACTGTGAAATTGCACTTTCCTGGTTCAGCAAGAAGGGTGTCCACCTCTGGCTTAATAGCAAATGTCTTGAGAGGCTTGCTGTATATAACCTTGGCCTTAAGTCCATCAGGGCGGAAGTGATTTTGAACAAAAGGACATCCCAGGTAGGCCAGTGGGCAGCGATGCTGGAACCATCCATCCAGACATGACTGGATATCAGCGTGCACATTCTTGAAGTGGGATGGGAACTCATCTCTCCTGAAGAAATGACTGCAAGTGAACGTGAAAGCCGAACTGCTTTTGTTGTGTCTTCTGGTTACACAATCAGTGTAGAGCTCCATGTGGAGTTCTTGTGGGCTTTTTTCATCCAGAACATCTGCTAGAACAGCATTGGAGGAGAAGGGCTCCAAAGAAAAGCTGTATGTCTGTGTTGCAAAATCCACAAAGAGTCCATCGATACCCCTTGCTTCAGAAATCTCATGGCCTTTCAGCTCTTTTTCCAGAGCACACAGCAGTGTCGCTTCAACTATATTTGTCTTAGGTAGTTCTTCTATGTTTATTCCCAGTTCTGAGGTATCCACTGACTTGTCTGAAGTTGGCATCTTGTGGCCCAGTGCATCTCCTAGTCGTGCTCTTTTGCCACAGTAACTAACTGGCACTTTGAAGGTGTAGACAGTCTTCACCTCCTGGGCTTCCAAGTTCCCATAGACAAAGTCTTTTTCTTTGGGAGTGCAAGCAGCCATCTGGCCAAAGCGGATGAGCATTCCACCATGATGTACCAAATACATGTTGTAATCACCTACACCAACTTCCTTCTTCAGCCTCTCCAGGACCCCGTCTTGCCAGGGAGCCATTCCTTTCAGTTCTCTACTTGGTGTTACTTGTTCAGGCTTTTGGTCCTTTGCCTCTTCTGCACCGTCAGGTCCTTCCTTTGCCTTCTCTGTGGAGCTGGTACCATGAGAGGCTGGTGCTGTCTTCTTGGAAGCCTCATCTGTCTTTTGTCCTGTGCTGGCTGCTGAGCCCACAACCTGGCAAGCCAGGAGCTCTTTGCTGAAAATGTTCTCCCAGGTTTTGTAACTTCCCAGGTCCATTCCCTCTTTGTCCTTTGCCAGCTCTTCACGCTCACGTTGGCTGAGCTCCGGCAACTGGTCTTTGCCCTCTTGGGAACCACAGGCGACTCCCCCCACAGCACCTGCTTCACCACCCGTGGCTTCATCCAAAAGCTCTTCCATTTCATCCTTTTTCCTCCACTCTGGAAACAATTCGGCTATTTTCAAAGTCCTGAAAAGTACCTTCTGGTCTCTCAGTGCCAAGGCTGTGTCCAGACACTCTTCATTTAAGGTCTCCTTCATAATATTCTTGTGGAGGGTGGTGTCTGAATCCACATTTGGCCAGCGATTCCACTCCATCGAGCAGCAGACAACACTGGCTGGACAGACCTGGAGGTGCTTCCCCAGCTTAAAGCGGGCCATGGAAAAAGGGCAACCATAAGCTGAGTTGAGGCAGGAAACCTGCTCTAAGGGACAGAGCAACTGGTGCTCCTCCTCCTTGCACATGTGGAAGGTGGCCCCACAGTGAAGGCGGCAGCTGATCACCACGCAGGAGACGGAGATCTCAACTGGTGCGCGGCAGTGCCGGCTGAAACATCTCTCACAGTGTCTGTGCTGCCCAGGGGGAGCTTTCTGGGCCCGGTGCTGTGTGTAGCAAAGACAAGACAAGAGTTATTGCCTGAAGGAGCAAAGATGGCCACAGACCCTCCGTGCTCGTCCTTGATTTCTACACATTAGGTGCTCACATGCACTCCTAGCAGGAATAAGGTTGTGGGCAAATGACTGCCAGCTCTGTACAGTCACATATCAGCTCTGATCCCCACAGTACAGCGTGGCCTGGTAGCAGCACAGATATAGATAAGGTCCTTACTTGTTAGCCCAAGCAGCCAGGGTTTGGGAGTGAGTGGTTTTCTATCCCAGTATTTACACTGGGTCTTTCTAAACCAAGGTGCTGAAATCAAGATTGCCAGAGGCACAGTGAAGGAGCATTCCACTTCCTCAGCATTGAGTAGGAAAAATTACATTCCTTTTTCCTCTCTCCCACAAAAACATGAATGTTGCACAAATGAACCTCCCTTTGCTCTACACCAGCAAGGTTGAGAGTGAGAATTATTTTCAGGATACCAGTTCCCAGTGCGGAAAACAGCCTGGGTAAATGCTAATTTGCCTAGGCTTCTTTACTCTGCTTTCCTGATTTACCTTCATGCCCCTTGATGATGCCTGCATGTTGTGGAACAGAGACTGCAGGGAACTTTCCTTCAAGCAGGTTATTTGCTACTTCTACTTTATTCAAAACCTGTAATAAAGTGATGTCTTGATGTGAGTTTTGGAGTGAAGCTCCAGAGTGTAATGGAGGCTTGTTGCAAGGTTATACTCACTCCAATAAATCCATTTTCTTTTTTTTTTTTTACAAACTGTCTTTCACCTTTCTTCCCTTTGCTGCCACCAGTGAATGCTGATAGGAGGAAGGAGAAGATGGCAGGTATGGTTTATTCCATGCTCCTCTCCATACCACCCTGTGCAGATAGGGCAAATGGGGAGCGACAAAGGTCTAATCTCGACAGGGCTTTTCCCTTCATACGACGGTGCAGGGGAGGCCAGCCTGCTCGTGTCTTTCACATGGTGTCTCTTTGAGAAAGAATCCATTTTTCTCCCTTCGGGATTTGTTTTAGATCATGATCATATAAAAACTGGTCACCACTGCTCTGCTTTCTCTAGTTCACCTTATGTACTTCTGACAAGTCAGTGTCAAACACTGCCTGGTACTTAATAGGTGACTCTAAGTTGATCACATTTTAGATGCATTTTATGAGGGTGTTAGTGACACCACAAGGGGCCAGAAAACAGAAAAAGAGGTCCTAGGCAACAAGAATAAATAATACTAGTCTCCGTTTCATAAATTCAGCTGCCACCAGGCAGCTCCATGAATTTAAAATTTGCAACCAACAGACTGGATTAAAAGAACAAGTTGTTGTGCCAAACCAAATGTTTCAGAAATTTAAATGAGTTTATTATATAATTAATATATGTTATATATATTATTTACATGTATTAATTAAATGTCTTAAGGGAGACTAAATTTCTGTTCTCACACTTCCATAATAATATGGCTTCAAGTATATATATAATTTTTTTCTCTCCTCCCCTTAAAAACCTTTTCCTGATGTCCAACAGCAAAAAGCAGAAGTAAAAGAACACGATAAAAGGTTATCACTACCAGATTACTATGTTTGTGTCACAATGAACCACTGGCTTCAGTTTAATTATTGCATTTCTCATTCTTCCCCAGTCAATTAAATCAGTTTAATGTAAAAATAATGCACTTACAAGACCTCTTTCAAAAAGATCTCAGTTCCCCTTGCTCATAATATATCTACTCTTGCAGTAATTCCAGATAATAGCTGTTAATCCTTCCTACAAATGGAAAACCAGTCCAACAGTCCAGCACAGTCCAACAGTAAGTGAATGGAGATGGTGGTTATCATGAGACATGCCTCCTGTTGTACAAAATTCAAGAACATAAGAAATGAAATTTTGGGTCAAACCAGAGGTCCATCCAGCCCTGAAGTTTTCTTCAACAATGTCTGTAAGAGATGTTGTTTACGGGGTCCTTTCCCCTCACACACAGTTGTTGGATTATAGAACTAGAGGCTGCTCAGTCACTGCTTAGAGCTACTTCCCTGGATATCTTCAACAGGGTATTAGTAACTTGGCCCAAAGAAGAGCAGCTGCAAGCAGCAAACTCCCGACGTCTAACCTCCTGCTCCTTGCTGTAAGGGCTGCATTCCAGCTTGATTCAGCCCACCGTGAGTCTTTGTGGAAGTGGAAAAGCTAATTATAAGGAGGAACTGGAGTTCTGTTTTCAAATAGGACAGAGGGCGCTGTTCTTTCTTTGTGAAAATGGGAAAAAGATTTTTGACAAGTCTTCCCACCACATCTTCTATGCCATAGGAACTACCATAGGCCCAATAGACTCTTGTTTGGCTCTGAGAAAAAACAGATATTTGTAGCAAAATAATTAAGACTTTGGGTTCTTCTTAGCTAAGATTAAAGAGAACACAGTAGTGTTTACCTAGGTATGAGTGCTTTTGCAACCCCAGGCTTAAGTGACCTAGCCCTTAGGAGAGCTGTGCTGCAGAGGAGATGGGCTCAGGCTCAAGGAGAAGAGATGCTATATGAAGCTGCTCCTCCTCTTTCATGAAAGTACTGTCTTAACTTGCTGTCTTTCACACTTTCACACCCTGGCAATGGAAGTCACAAAAACACCGGAGAAGGAAAGATGTCTGGTAAAGGCAATGCTCCTGGGATCCTGCACTAAAGACCACACACTCGTGTTTGAATTTGATGTGTATTAATTGCTCAACACAACTTTGTTCCAACTTTTGCAATTTCCAGTGCTGATCAATGCCTGCTTACAGCTCCTAGTGAATCAACCCCATTCCCTCTTGGCCCTGCAGGATAAAGGAACACACCCTTGGTGGTCCCTTTACTCAGAGACTTACACTGAAGTATAAGGCTCAGGTACCTTCACCTTTGCATGGAAAGAGCTCCAGACAGTGATGCAGAAAACAGTATTTTGTATCTGCCCATTATAACATCCCTGCCCTGTCTTGGGAAGAACTGGCTTCTGCACAGGGGTGACACCAGAGTGCAGGCCAGGGTGGCCTCAGCCACATCCAGCCCTTAAATACACGTGGTTCAGGGTGGCATCTGTCCTGATTTAGGCTGTTTGTTACACCTACATTTATGTGGCTCAGAGAAGCAGGAGACACAGATAGATTTATTTCATATTGGCAGCATCCTTGCTGCTCTCATTCTTGTAGCATTTTGCTGCAAATATAATCTCTAAAAATAGTCCCAGTCATGACTTGCATAAGGTCACAGGAAGGCTGGCTACATTACACCGCAATAAAAACATGAATGTATTGTGTGAACAATACTTTCCACTGCAAAAGTAACTCTTGGGGAGAAATAACTGATAAATAAAACTACATCAAAGGCACAGGCCTTATTTTTCTCCAAAACACAGAAAGGACTGATTGCAAAGTTTCTGGAGAGGAGCCTGCTTTCACATTGCTGTATGCTGAAAGAAACTCCATCTGAATCACATGTAGAGAAAGAAAATACATGCTTTGTTTATGAAAAGTGACCATATCAGAGCATTCAGATGCAGAGTCAGTCTTCATCATTATTCAGGTATTTTTTTAATTGAGTTTACCTCATCTCTAACTTGCATATGCTGTTCTTTTCAGACAAAATATGTCTATGTCTCTCTTCTCATTGTTAAATCTGTGAAGCTAGAGGACAGGAGGAAGGGACAGAGAATTTTTTCCTGATATTTATCAGGGTTTGAATGCTGCTTCTATTCTGACATGCCGATAATCAGGAGCTTGGTATTTTAATTGATGATCTAGTTAGCTCTGTGATTTAGTTGATAGTATTAGTGTCAGCACACAAACTACAACTTTCAGAACCCTCAGCAGAAAGTTTACAAATTTTTTCCTCGGTAAGTTTGATACATAACATCCAGAGGAAGGTGACACACAGATATGTAAGGTGATGAAATGTTTCTCTAAAGATGTACACTTCTTGTTTCCCTGCAACTTGCAAAATCTTTTAAGATCTGGGTTAGAAAAAAAATAGCAAACCAGAAACGCTAAGTTCAATCATGTTCAAGCTACTGTGCAAGAAAGGATGCAAATTACAGTCCACAGTCTGTCCACTTCAGTAAATCTTTATTTTTAGACTGTCAAGACAGCAAATCAAGTAAGGCTTAAAAATATACAGCTGCTATTTTAACTGCAGCTATGTTTGTGTCTGGAGCAGATCTGTTCAGTAACAATAACTGACAGTTTACAAACCAATTACGATTTATTTTCAGGAAATATACACTTAATTCAGTTGCAGTCAACTAGCCAAAATAATACAAGTGTTTTCTTATTTGGTATGTGCTATATGTGACTGATCATTTAACATACTAAGGTCATACATCATAACTGAGCTCTTTGCAGAATCAAGGGATACCTCCCATTTTGAAGAAGCATGAAAAAGGGCCACTCAGAAACCCCAGATAATGACCCTAATGAGTGCCTCTGAGATGAGATTGTGAACAAACTTAAAACAATCTTGTTAAATTTTACAACAGGATAATGAGTTCTTAAAAAAATCTCAGGAAAATTTGCATCCAGATGCTGGAGCCAAGAATGATAAAGTTACATATAATGTTACAACAGAAGGAATGTGAATGCTTTTGTTGAATGTATAGGCAGATAGGTGATGTTCTCTATTTCTTTTAATCCTTGTTACCGAGTATATAATGTTTATCTCATTTTTATCATATTGAAATCTCGAGGTAAATAATTAATTAATAACAGAGCTATTAATTTTCTTACAGGGTTTTTCAGTATATTTAATATCTTAGATCTGAGAGGGTTCACAATCAATAAAGAATTTATCTTTGCAGTACTAGAGGTGCCCTTAAGGTTGAAAGATACTGTTGCTTCTATTTGGCAAATATACAAATAAAGAACAGAAATATGAAAATAACTAATATTTTATATAAATTTATATAATATTATATATATAATATTTTATATAAATAACTATACATGCCAATCATGGAGATGTTCAGGTTCTGATGTTTCACTTGCAGCTGATGCATCCTGCACAAAAACCCTGGCAGAGCCTGCTGCAGAATTACATTTTCTAGGACACCATCTAAGTCTCCTTAAACTAGACATTTTCCTTTCGTGCACCATTCTTCCTCAGTCACTACTTCTTAACAACCTGGGCAAGAAATCAGACTTGGGTCTCCTTTGCTAAACAGATACTTTTATTTTTTAGAGCTGAGGATGAAAACACTATGATTTCACAGAATATTCTGAGTTGGAAGGGACTCACAAGGATCATTGAGTTCAACTCTTAAGTCATGGCCCATATGGGGATCAATCAAACCCACAACCTTGGTGTTATCAGCACTATGCTCTAACCAACAGCACTGCCCATTGGAAACCATACTGTACTGCATTTGTACAGGAGCCTAGGTCTTCTTAAGTCCTGTTCTTTGACACAAAATAAAAAGCAAATCCAAGCATGCCACCACCTGGAATCACAGTGACCCCTAAGTAAGTCAAACCCCACCCCTCAACACCGACAGCAGGGACAGCCTGGGTGACCGCCTTGGCATTAGGCATAGCAGGTCACTGTCCTTCTGGCACACCTGCTCTGCAGTTGCCATTTGGACTGATCTTGCACATATATGTTACCAGCCAAGATTTAAATGAGTCAGGCAGTGAATATGGTACAGCTCAGGGTAGGTGGAAAGAGAGAATAAAAGGTATAGATGAAATTGTGATCAACAACGTTAATAACCCTCTAGCGAGCATGAGCAAGCCCTAGTTTTGAGGTGACCTTGAAAAAGTTCACATGGATTTTACAGAGGCACTTTGATTCCAGGGCAATCCTGGTGAACCTCAAATCCTCAGTATAAGACGTGAGGAGGGAAAAGGTTTCCCAGAAGACAACTAACCTGTTAGATAAACCCAAAGGTGGAAGAATGAAGCTGTGACAATTATGGAGATACTCCCTCTATTTTTTAGCTGGGGATCATCTGGCTGAGGCTGTGGTGTTTCATGGCAATAGCCACTAGTTCAAACTTACTGAACAGGTTGGAATTGCTTTTTACTGAAAAAAACACTTTAAAATTTCAAGGATGGAGTAAGTCCACAGTATAGTCCATCAGTTGGGCAAAGACTTCAATCTATGTTCCTTGCTTTCCTTCCAGAGCACACCCGCTACTCAGGTTCTCACAGCAACACATCACCTTCTCTTCAGCTCCCTAAACCTGACATGCAGGACCATGGAGCTCAAGAGAAGCTGTTACACCATCAGGCCTCCTCCCTACCTGGAAAATCTGTGCTGCACACAGGCACCAAAACTTGCTCGTGCAATTTCTGTTTGGTGAAATGCACCAGCGCTGGTACAGGAAATACAGGGGAGAGTTTGGAGTAGTGAGGCACAGATAACACAGGGCACTGCTGGTGGAAACCTCACCCTGCACTCCCCACTATGAGACCTGGATCAGCAATATTTCATGCTCCTCCCTACTTGGTGCAATGTAGCCATAGCTCAGCTAAGACAAACCCACTCAAAAATTTCAGGTGCTGAAGTGGTCCCCTGAGCTGGTGGCATGGTGCAGGGTAGCCCAGAATCAGCATCTTGTGTTGGGCATGTTGGGGAGTCATGTGGGAGACAGACAGGACAGGAGGCTGTGACATGGAGCTGCTCTGCTGCTCCTTGGGCATGGGAGGGGGCCCTGTGCTGTCCTTGGTAGGCACATGAGTCAGGCAAACTCTTACTTTGCATCAGTAACTGGGAAGTCAGTTTGGTCTTGGTTTGAGTTCAGCAAATGCTTTAAAACAGTAAGTTCCAGTCTAGTTGCAGTTTGAGGGAAAAAAAGGAATGGTCCAAACCATGGGTTTTTCTCCTTTGGCTCAGGTTCTATTTTACACTCCAGTAACAATCTCATTAACATACTTTTCTGAAAACTTACTGAGACAATCTAGTGAATGGCTTTAAGCAAAACATAAGGCAGCCCAAGGCAGGTGCTCAGTTTAGAGAATTTCAGAGCTTTGGTTAAGGTCTAAGTCATAAAAAAAACATAAAAGAGAAGAGATTCATGAATAAAAATTGTTAAGCAGCCACAAGACTAAATGGTACAGTACTACCTGTAACCCTTGTAATTCTTACTTCACCATTCATTCAGTCTGGATTGCCAACATAAAGTTTGCAGTCTGAGTCTACAAAACTCATTAGATTTTAAGTCTGAGCATTTTTGCCACAAGATTGCTCTTGCCTTTCCCCTGACCCTTACTGTATCTCCTTGTCTTACTTCTCTTCAGAGTTTCCTGAAAATTACAGAGACTGAATTTTTGATTTATCATCTGACCCGCTGCTGAAGCTCCCATGTTACAATCAGCATCTTAGTTTTTAAAACCCTGGATACAGTACTGCAAACTACAGCTAATCTACTGAATATATTATGGAGGGGTTTTTTTTAGAGTAGTATGTCACAAAAGTGCTCACAGTTACCAGCTGCCTCTGTTTTAAGGTGTCATTTAAGACATCTCATGGTTATTCTACTTCATCTTAATTACTAAGGCTGTTCTGAAGATGTCTTGATTTTCACAGCTCAATAGAGTAACCATTACACTGCATAAGGTCTGTCCAGTAAAAACTCCAACTCTATTTAAAAAACCTTACCTTGATCATAGAGCCCCTGTGTGTGTACCAAACACTTGCTCTCCTGGTTGTGCTCAGCTGGGCTGAAGTGAGGTGGGTGAGGGAGAACTGCAAGCAAAGAAAGAGAAGAGAACAGAAGGACACGGAGCAAGCCCAGGCAGAAACATCAAGTAGTTTTGGGATGTTAAAAATAAAACCTGTGCATGTGACCATGTAGCTCAGCTTACAGAGCAGTCTCTTTCACTGTATTTGTTAACACTGTCAGTTCTGGAGTGGTATTTCACAGACAAGATGAGAGGCAGAAGCAATAATACTCTGTGCCCCCTGTATGAGAGGAGAAGATCAAAACCCTTCCCAGAGCCATGTATCAGCTCCTTGCTGCTCTCTGATGGTGGTTTTCCCTTTACAACTTAATTCCCCTTGGTGCTCACACCAGTTTGTGGTTTCTGCTGTTGGAATTGTCACCCCAGCTCCCATTTTCACCAGATTGAGCAGGTGATGCAGACAGCAATGGCGGGTTTCCAATCTGTCCACCAAACAGGGTGGACAGAAAAGAGAGCAGGAACGTCCCAGAGCTGAGCAGTCAGGCAGATCTGCTTGCCCACCTCCTGGAGACCCCCAGGAGACTCCCCAGCTCATCCCTCCACTGCACAGGGAAAAGGTTCCACCAGCCACCAAGGGCAAGCCTCAGGGAACAGCTCCCAGTGTCATCCTTCCTCAGCCAAAGCTGGGGAAGCAAAGGAGGAAAGGAAAGCAGTCGTGTTTTACTGCCAGCATGGACCCACGAACGCATTTTGTGGTGAGTTTTATGGTGAGCATTTCATACTGATAGTGAGTACAGACAAACAGCTACTGTGTGTCAGTGAGGTTCAGGGGTGCAGATGGGGCAGGCACTGTTTCTCCCTGGTGGGTGTTCACCTCATCTGGCTGCAGACACCTCTTGTGACCCTGCTGCCATATGTGGCCACCTTTCACCACCTCAGAAACACAGAACCACCCCTTTTGGCTGTGGCAGCTCTGAGATCCTAAGTCCTGATGAACTTGTTACTTTGCCTTATCTTTCTCTTTCCCTATCTGTGATTCCCCAGTGACTCTCATAGTTTGAAACAGTCCAGGCAACTGTTTTCGTTTTTAGGGCTGAACAAAATGTCAGTGGGTGACAACCAAGGCTTGCTGGTGCCAATCGCAATTTAGTAGTGCTAAATATGGTTAGCAGTCTGGCTCCGTGGCCTTTTTTAGAAAGGGCTGTATTATCGTGATACCATTTTCTGGCATCCCACTGCACTGTGGAAAATGAGAGCCCGTAGTAGTATGCCTAAACCCAAATTTCACCCAATCACAATGTGATCGCTGATCTGTTTACCCTGTCCACTCCCACCCTCATCCCCCCAGTTCAGGGTCACTCATTAGCCTTCAATGTTGTTGTCATCTTCAGAGGCTGTGTTAAACATGTTGGGGGTATGACTAGCTTTTGTGTGAAGTAAAATTCTTCTTAAAGTTCTGTATTACTGGTTTAGGAGTAAACACCCTCCATTTGAATTAACCCAGATTACTAAAATACTCAGGACTTCAGAAGTTGTTGTCAGAAATGAAGCTACCTTCTGTCTTAATTTTACCAGCACCTGATCTCAGCCTGGTTTTAGATCTCTGTGTTTTCAGACAGTCTGAACTGGTGCTTTTTGCTCTTCTATGCATTGCTCAGTGATCACACAGACCCAGACAGTCTGGACCTGTCTCACTCTGTTTGTTACGCTGCCTCACAGCCACGTCTAACGCAAGCCCACAAGTTTTGCAAATCCTTCCCTGCAGGTGATGACTTTAATCAAAAAGGCACCATATGTGGTGGTCTTTTAGGGCAGGGTATCACAAGACACGCAGAATGAACATAGTTCTCCGTGCCTGAAAATGTGTACTTGGTAGAGAGAAGGGAGCAGAAGAGCAGAGAGACAGGAAACAGGAATTCATCCTTGTACCTGCAGCACACGATTGCATTAGCTTAGCTGCACCTGAAAGCAGACTTTTATCAAAACAAGGAGACTTTGAAGATCTCTGCTGCCACCCTTACCTGTGCTAATTTGATTCAAGGTATCTCAGGAATGCCAACCAATACTGTAACCAGGCCTCCTGCTGCAGTACAGATATGCTTAGGTAGGATGCAAGAAACATGAAATCTCTGAAAGAAAAGTGTAACTGTTATTTATTTTTTTGTGCAAATGCTTTGGGAGAAAGCTGTTGCCTGTCTGCTTTAATCTATCTTATCTCAATTCTATGTGTAGAAATGCCATTCTTCTGTGTGAAGCCCTATGAAATATACCTGTGTACATGATATGGATATGTATGATATATACAAATATACACATCTACTGATATGGGAAAATTGGGTGATATCTGGTAGCCTGAGAGAGGTGAGGCCTCTGCAGCTCCATGCCCCCATGTGATAGCCTGGTTGAGCTTGTATTTCCCAGTAGGCACATGCACAAATCCACATATACACCTCTCAAACATGGACACAGATTACACATCCAGCCACACAGAGCACTCACACACAGTGCCAGCGGCCTCATCCCCCCTCCCCCCCCAGTTTGGCTGAGCAGGATGGAGGTGTGCTAGTGAGCATCCATGTATATTTATATACGTATACACACACACATGGGCAGAGTCTCTCCCTCCAGCAGCTTGGCTCAGGTTGTCTGCCCAGTAGTTGCCCCTCGATCCCAATCTCTCTGGTACCCTTGGTCTCCCAGTAGTAAACTCCCTGTGGTGGTTTTGCCCCCAGGGATCCCCAGGCCTCTCAGTCTTTTTGGCAGCTGGATGGGCCTTCTCTGGTCGCTGTCTCCTCCTTCATAGCCTTTTCCTGGCTCCCAGGCCCCCTTGCTGGATAGTTGTGGCTGTTCACACTCACCTGCATGCCCATGCCCAATGCTGCTCCGGGGGCACAAGTCCAAGCTTCTGGCACCTGGATCCCTCCACACCATTACCATGTGGTAATGAAAGACCCTCACCCAGGGCAAATTGTGAAAGAAGTTTAGTGAGAAGACGGGACAGGCTGCACTGACAAGGTGCAGGGCGTGGCCAAACCATCACAAACCATTTACACACTATTGGCCCTTTTTATTCCCATGTCCCATGCTTGTTTCTCCACAAGTCACCTAAATCCCTTCTGTTTCTGCCCTGAACACCCCTTAATGCATCCCGTGCAATGCCCAAATGCTCTTCCCCTGTATCCCATTGTGTGTCCCACACCCCTGAAGACAGTGACACCCCCAGTCCTAAAGGTGCTCTTGGGCTGAGGCTCCCCTGGCAGGGGGCTGGACAAGGTTTCCCTGCTTCTGAGTCCTTAACGGGGGTTTCCAGCTGCCCATCCTCGAGATGGGCCTTTGGTGGGCTGATGGCCCCTGGGATGGGCCCGGCAGGGCGCTTCTTGGGCTCCTCCTTCTGCCATCCTGTCCTCCTCTGTGGGTGTGCGGGCCGGCTTGTGCTACACAATCCAATGTATGCGGCTATCGCATCGTACTCCGTGGCTGACTGGCAACTTATCATGGCTTTCCGTGCCGTCTCTGCGGTCAGCGACGGCCGCTGTGTCTGTCCCTGTCGCTGCCCCCGTGCCTGTCGCTGCCGCGGGACCGCCCGTGGCACCGCGAAATGGCTCCGCTGTTCGCCGCACCCGCAGTGACGCGCTCTGCGGTGACCCCGAGGCCACGGCTATGGAACCTGCATTAACTACGGCGGAAATATCAGCCCGCTGCGTTATCCCGAGCTGTAACAGCCCCCGGGGCATCCCTGTCACTTTCACTGCCTCCCGGTCCGAAGCTCCCTGCCGGCGGCGCTGGCGGGCGGCGGGTTACGGCCTAACACTTCCCTGCCTTCAGCGGCTGCTGCACCACTGCGGCCACCGCCATCCCCTTCGTGCCCGGACTCGCGACCCGGCCGCCACCGCCGCCCCTCAGGCATGGAGGGAAGGAGGCGGCTCCTCCTCCCCGTCCCCAGACCCTCCCGGGCGCGGCGCCGTCACCCGCTGAACTACAACCCCCAGCATGGCCCGCGGAGGGAGCGGTGCCCCTGGCCAGCGCGGGGGCTCGCGCTGCATGCCGGGAATCGTAGTCTTCCCCCGGGGACCGCACCGCCCCTCATGAGGGCGCCGCCGGTCGGCCGGTCTCGCCGGAAGGGCTCCCTCTCCCAGAGGGCGCCGCGGCGCCCCGCGCGCGTGCGCAGTGCGGCGGCCAGCCAGCGCCGGGCAGGCAGGGAGGGAAGGAGGGTGGCGGGGAGGGAGCGGCGCTCGCGCGCCTCGGGCCCGAGAGGAGACAGCGCGGGGCCGGCGGGGCCGGCGGCAGGTATGGGGGGCGGTGGGGGCCCGTCACCGCGGGGTCGGCGGGGCGGGAGTGGCGGCGGCCGGGCGGCGCGCGGGGCCGGGTCCGCGGGGAGGAGGGAGCGGGTGTGGATGGGCTGAGGGGCGGCCCGGGCCGTGGCGGGGCGGGGGTGAGGGAGAGGCCCGTGCCGGGGGTGCCGCGCGCCGCGGGAGCCCCCCCCGCCCCCGGCACGCGCGCGCGCAACAGGCGCGCGGGGGCCGCGCGCGGGGCGGGGCCGCCGCCGGCGCGGCGGGAACGGCGCGCGCGTGGGCCGGGATCGGGATCGGGACCAGGACTGCGCGGGGTTGCGGGGAGAGACGGGACCCTCCTGCCCAGGGAGAACCCCCGCGCGGCCGGACGGGCTCCCTGGGCTTCTGCTGGTGGCGTGGCCGCGCGCCGGCTTTGGAAGTCTCCGGGATTGGCTGCGGGACTCGGACTGCTGCGGGACGGGGTGTGAGGAGAGGCAGAGCCTCAGCTGGACGAGAGGACATAGTCTTAACCTGCGCCAGGGGATGTTCGGGTGGGAAATTTGGGGAATTTCTTCACTGAAAGGGTGGTTAAGCATTGGAATGGACTGCCCAGGAAGGTGGTGGAGTCGAAGTGTTTAAGGAAAGACTGCAAGTGCTACTCAGTGTCATGGTCTAGTTGACAGGGTGGTGTTCGGTCATAGGTTGGACTCGGTGATCTGAGAGGTCTTTTCCAACCTGGTTGATTTTGTGGTTCTGTGGAAGGGAAACTTTCTCCTGGATCTTCCAAGCTTTCCCTTCCCCCCTCCACCCGCCAGTGATGTTAGGTGATCTTACTAAAGCTCTGCCTTCTCCCTGCATACATCACTTCGTATCCTCACATTATCCCACCCACAGCGTTCTCTCTTTGACTCCCTGCATACGATGAAGGGTTTGCGCTCGGTGGCCGTTTCCAGTTATCCTATTCTAGAGACCGTATCCGGCAAAACTCGTCCCATTCATAGTCCCCAAGTCTGTGTTGCCCGTACCGCGGCACATGGAACGATGATTTTAAACTTTGCCTCTTGAGGGCGTTTCATGAAAACTGAAACTCCGAGCTGAAAAGATACGTCATGAGCTGTGAAAATACTGGGCTGCTGTTTCTGCAGAATTCCCAAATGGTGCTGAATGGTTGTGTTTAATGGTCCCTTTATCCTTTATTCAAGCTGCTGTTCTTCTGGATTTTTTTGTTTGCTGGCATATTTTCTGCTTTGACTGCTTGATGTTAATGAAAGACTCAATAAAGTTGGGATATGTCTATGAGCTCTCAGGAAATGGGATTTTAACTTTATCCCTAGAAACTAGTTATTTTAAAGCTACTTTGTATATACCTCTAACAATTAGTAGCTAGAATAGAGTAGTTAATTAGTAGATTGTAAATAGAGTGTAAATTAATATATTGAGTCAAGCTAATCTTTGAATTTGTCCTTGTTTTTTATTGTAACTTCCCTGTTCTCCCTTCAGCGTTACCACCTGCACTGACATGTGAACTGGCTCGTTCAAAACAGCGTTTAAAATTTCTGCTTGAGCTGTAGTTGCACCTTTTAGTTACCCTTTAGAAATACCCTTAGGCACAGGGGAAATGAGTCGTAGCTCAAGGCATGGTAACTTGAGATGACATGCGAGGTAGAGGTTCTTCTCAGCGGTAGAGGTTTTTCTCAGCGTGGTTTCCTTTGTCACAGCCTTTTAAACATATGCAATGATGCTTTGCTCCTGAGAAGTGCTTCCCTTTCTGAGAAATGTGACTATTTTGTGGGCTTGGCTCCCTCATTGGCCCCCAACTTCTAAACAGAGTCTTGGTTACATCGCATCTCTCATTCTAACACTGCACCAGGATGTTTGACTTTTGCTGTCAGAGTGCCATACGTTGATTCTTTCCAATGTTATCTCTATGTTGATGACTTCAGAGCTGGCTTGCTGGCGTTTTATTTCAACTTCAGTGTTTCAATACGGTGATCTTTTCTTTCTTTTTTTGTTTCTTTCCCTT